CACACCGTAATCTCCAGACTAATTGGTGGGGCTTTTTATTAAAAATCTCCTTCAATGAATGTATTCACTTTTTAAATTTAATATCAATCCACATATTTATATTAATGTTTTTACCGAATTCCTGGGATATTTCATTTAAATTTCATATGGGTCCGAGGATTGTGGAGAGTTGATTTGTAGGTATCGAAGGGGCATTTTTTTGCGACTTAGGTTCCAAAAATTTCCTACATGTCTCTGTAACCTTGATAAAGAATAATTATCTTTGTTCCTTTTACTGGTTATTATGTATGAGTACATCCAGGTAAATTTAATTTTCCACACTAGATAAGATAGATAGATTTCTTGGGATTTTTACCCGGAAGGTTGCCCCCAGGATAACCAAGGAAAGTCATTGCGTCACGGGATAACTTATTTCCATTGGGGTCTTAATCTGTCCCCAGGATGGGGACCAACACCAGTCGACTAACACCTGGTACCTATTTGCTGTACATAATACTGTACTGTATTATTGTACTGTAATATTTTACACAAATTTGATGCTTTGTTTGGAAATAATAATAATCATACCAAGTACACTTAAATTTAAAAAAATCACAATTACATTTTTTAACTTAGAATTATATACAATTATAAAATAGACTACTATACATTACTACAGGAAATATTCCTTTTGTTCTTTCTCACAGTATATATACACTGACAGGTGTATTTTTCTCGGTGTATTTTATGCTGACAGTTTGCTTTCACCCTTATTTTAGGAATTACATTTTCTTGCCTGGCATGGAAGGTCCTAGTATATTACAGGTGGTATAGTCTAAGACTTTTATAAGACCCTTGATATAGCTTAAAAGCTTATTATATGAATATTTGGAGTCTAAAACAGTCATTACTCTTACTACTGAGCGATTGTAAATCACCTCTCCCAAGTATGGGATTATTTTACAAATAAAATAAGTGCAAAACCCCACAAGGGTCACACAGCACTGCAGGGCAAGATGTGCTGAGATGAAATGTGCGAAGATCAGAGACCCGAGTGTATGATGGAAAACTCCTTCACATCCCACGGTGCCCCCATGGCAAAAGCTCTCGCTTCACACGGTAAAGTGTCTGGGTTCGATTCCCGGCGAAGGGGTGGAAACATTCGGCGTGTTTCCTTACACCGTTTGTTCTTGTTCACCCATCATTTAATAATGGTGTGGGTTACACCCTGGGACAAAATTTGACTTTATTTGCCCGAAATGCTCAGCATAACAAGCGGCTTTCTAAATAGTGTATGTCATTGATGTCGCTATGGACTGTAATACCTTACCATGTACTTTTTGAAATAAAGATATTATTATTATTATTATTATTATTAATTATTATTATTATTATTATCACTCTTCATTTCCACTGGGAAGCAGTTAGAGATTTTTGATTGGTTACTTTGGGATGATGGGAGTTACCCTATTGGACAGAGGTAAAGTTAAGGACCCCAATGCAAATAAATCACTTTGTCCGATTTTTTGGATTATCATAGATAATTTACACGTATGTAATAATAATAATAAAAATAATAATAATAATAATAATAATAATTATAAAAATAATAATATTAGTAATTATAAATCTTTTTTTCTAGAAGTAGTATACAGACCATAGCTGACATCAATGACATATACTATTAAGAAAGCCCTGGTTTATGCAGAGTATTTTGGTCAAATTAGGCTAATTTTGTCTCAGGATGTATCCCACACCAGTCGACTAACACCTAGGTACCCCTTATAGTGCTAGGTGAACAGGGACAGTAGGTGCCTTAAGGAACACATCCTAGTTTTTCCCCACTTACAGGTGACTGAACCATAGGGCTTCAGTGTGTGTGCTGGGAAAGCGTACCAACCCAGTGACAGGAAACCGATTGGTTACTTTTGGATGTTTATGAGTTCCCTTATTGGATAAAGGCAATGTTAAGGAACCCAGTGGAAATAAGTCACTTTGGCTAACTTTTTTGAGTTATCCGGTGGGTAATTTACAATATGTTACTATATATGTTAATTTGTGTAACTGTATTTTATGTGTACTTGTACCCCAATAACTTACTAATAATTTCATGAGCGCTGCTAAGACTCTAATTAGGCCTATAAAAAAAATAACACTAAAGCATTACCCGGCCAACAAAGGCTGACCTTAGCCGATAGGCTTTAAACCTCATTAATCCAAAATGTTCCATTCAAGGGGGATGGGGGTTCCTTGGGGCTGGTAAGGGGTTCTTTATTCCTCGGATCGAACCTGAATACAATAAATATAATATTCCCTTTGTTAGGAGTAAGGCATCCATCACTTTTTATATTACCCTAATTAATCTTTCTGACACTCTGACATGGCTCTTCCCAACTCTCAATAGCGTTATTAATAACGATTATTAATAGCGTTATTAATAACGATGTTAATAATTTAGTCTCTTGGTTACAGGTATTTTAGCATTATTATTCTGACGGTTTTACCGCTTTTCCATAAATATATATAATTAAAATAATAATAATAATATAATAATAATAATAATATAATAATAATAATAATAATAATATATAATATATAATAATAATACACTGTAACCACAAGTTTATAATAATTCAGGACTGTAGTTACACATGACATTATTACACGAGGTTTGGGTGTTAGCTCTCTAAGCTGCATTACCCATACGGGTTTAGAGCAAATGGTATTCGTAAACAAATGCGATTTATTTTCAAGCGATGAATTAATGAGTTTCAGTGATAACGGCATTGTTTACCGGACCAACTTTGTTTGGTCTGTATGGGTGCGAGTTTCCTTACCACGATTTGGTCTCTGTATGGGTCTCAGCTAGCCTTAGACCACAGTTGTTTGGTCTCTGTATAAGTCTGAACTAGACCACAGTTGTTTGGTTTCTGTATGGGTCTGAGTAGAGCTGACTATGCTGCACATATAAAGCATTAGGGAAGTCCTGAGGCTCGGCCATTGACTCGCCTTGCTCACCACTCCTGTACACAAAGAATAAACAGATAATTAATTACAACAGAATTATCATTATTATTGTTAACTCAACGGCCGTTTAAGCCAGGGTGACCCGCAGTAGAAAACACATTTCTCCATCATTCACTCAATGGCCGTCTTATCAGACGCTTCCTGACATCACAGACTACCCTCTGACTGCAATATCCTCACCCTCTCCTTAAGGGTAAAGGCACTGCCCTTCACACCTCCAGGAGGACTCAAGTCCGACTGACTGATTTTCTCAGAAATCCATTCACCAAAGTTAATCTGCTTGCAGTCCAACAGCACGTCCATGAAAAAAAAAACACTTGTCTCCATCCATTCCTATCTAACATGATCAGGAAAGCCTGCTGGATGCTCAAGCCCCTAAAACTCAAAGCCTTTTATACCCCGTCCCTCCAACCATTCCAGGGATGACCCCTATTCTTCCTACCTTACGTCCCAGATTTACACACCCACTATGTCGACCTCTTTATATCTAAACTATCTCAACAGCCCTTCCTCAGCCCTCTGAAATATTGGGAATTCTACATCACATATTAATTTCCATTCTCCGAATTCTCTGCATGATATTCACACCATACATTGACCTCAAACATGACATCGCTATCTCCAGCCTCCTCGTTATAATGTTCAAAAACCATGCCTCACACTCATGCAAAAATGTTGGTACCACTATAGTACATTCCCGTGGCCTGGTTGGCAACACTCTAGCCTCACACACTGAGTGTCCGTGGTTCGATCCCGGCAAAGATGGAAACGTTGGGCGTGTTTCTTTACACATGCTGTCCCGTTCACCTAGCAAGCAAGTAGGTACCTGAGTGTTAGTCGACTGGTTTGGATCGCATCCTGGGGGACAAGATTTAAAGGCCCTAATGAAAATAAGACAGACAGTCTCGATGACGCACTGACTTTCTTGGATTATCATCGTTTTTCTTCCTTGTGTGATTTACCTCATTTTTCACATACCCATTCTTCGGCGAGTGCACTCCCAAATATCTCTGAAGACATTCACTCACTCCATACTCCCTCCTTAACTCACTCTTAGTCTTTTATTGTCTAGACTCTCTCTTGCTCTCATCACCTTGCTCTTTGCCATATTCGGAAAGAAGAAAAAACACATTCACCGTCATTTATTCAATGTATCATTCAATAGTAGCTAAAATAATAATAATAATAATAATAATAATAATAATAATAATAATAATAATAATAATAATAATAAATAAACAATAATGCAAATAATAATTATAATGATAAGGCTATTATTATTATTATTATCATGCAGATGTGGGTATAAACGACACATTATACAAGAAAAATTAATTGTTGAAACACATTTCACTAAGGTTCCTAACTTTATTTACAAGATAGAGCTGTTTTACCTACACCAGCTCTGTCTCCTTTCTCTCTCATCCCACTAACAACCAAGCTGAAGGTGACCTACTTGGTCTGGTATCGAGTCTTAGGAAGACCACAGGAGGGAGAGGCTGGTCTGACCAGGGACACCACCAGGGACACCAGCACCACCACGAACAACACACTCAGACATGTAAGACTCACTATCAACTCCGTCTCGTCCGCCTGCAGATAAGTAAGTTAGTAAGTAAGCTAGTAAATAAGTAAGCTAGTAAGTAAGTAAGCAAGCCAATACACTGGCTCCTGATGGCCACTATCAACACAGTTACGTCTGTCTGTAATAATAATAATAATATAATAATAATAATAATAATAATAATAATAATAATAATAATAATAATAATACGTAATAACAATGATAATATTTATTTCTATAAATACATGATACAACTTACACAGAATAATCAGATAAGTAAATAAGTGAATATATATAAAAAAGTAGTAGATAAGTAATTAAGAAAGCAAGTAAGCAGATATGTAAGCCAATAAGAAAGTAAGTAAATAAGAAAATAAGGGAAACAATTTCGCCTTCAGATCAAGAGGCTGCAACAACTGCCTCCAGTGATCAACATTCTTTGCAACATATTAATGCGTGCAAGAATGGTATATAATGCGTAATTGCTTGCATACATTAAATCTCTTGGGCCTGACCTGACAAGCACAAGCTGGCTGCCGGACCTTGCTGGCCAGCTTGTGTCTGTAATGATTGCCTGATACACCTTTCAAGGAGTCTGTCTTGATGCTGGCGATGGGTTCTTGATACAAGGATTTAGAGCTACCTCTCTTTCTTCCTCGGATTAAGCCTGATTATCTCCCACTCCCCTGGAGCTGTATGACCCCTACAGGTTTAGTGATACCCCAGGAATATAATAATAATAATAATAATATCTATATTATTTCAAAGGGTATCCCTTGATGATGAAGGGATCCTCACTTGGGGTATTATAACTATCCTTCCCTTAGGCGATCAAATCTCATTCTTACGGATTTAGCGACTCCCCATAAATATAATACTGAGAACAATAATTCTGTCTCTCCCTCTCCTACTTACCTTAGCTATCGTCACCTGGTCGTCGATGTACTTTGTTACGTTCTTGACGTTATCGTTCACAGTGTGAATGAAGTCCAGGTCCTCGTTAGTGAGGTGTAGCACTTGACTGTGATCGTCGTTACCTTCCTTCACCAGAGCGTCTAGAGCCGTAGCCTCCTGATCCAGGTGGTAGGCGTGCTCGGTGTCCACTGCTCCACTCATTATCTCTCCTGTCACTTCATCGATGCTAGTCAGGTGGTGCTTCACTCGATCCCACCACGGCAAGACAGACTTGTCTGATGTTGATGACACTGAAGATTCTGTCATACTTGATGTGTTAGTCCCACCTGCCACGCTTGTTGCGATAGAGTCATCTGTCGTGCTTGATATGTCAGTCTCACTTGCTATGGTTGTTGCGACAGATTCATTTGTCGTGCTTGATATCACAGCATCATTTGTCATATCTGACGTCATAGTTCCACTTGTCGTAGTATCACTTTCGGCAACTGACGTCTCAGTTTCCAACAGTGTCAATTCGTCCACAATTCCAGCTTCATTGTTCATGTTTTCAAACCACTTTGCATATTTTGCTAGTCGCCTGACTACATCATCTCGGCCAGTTGATCTCCGCCCATATCGTTCCTCTATGAGTGTCCTGTCGTCGAGGCCTTGTAGCGAGGATGGAGGCCTTACCACGCCTCCATCCTGGTCAACGCTCTCAGTGGTAGTATTAAAATCTATTGAAGTAGTTATTGGTGGTGCTGTAGACTTAGTCAATAGATCTGTTGTAGATGTTGAACTAGTTGTTGGTGGTGCTGTAGACGTAGTCAATAGATCTGTTGTAGATGTTGAACTAGTTGTTGTGGTGGTGCTAGTATAGACTGGGTAGGGGTCAATAGTATCTGTTGTAGATGTTGAACTAGTTGTTGGTGGTGCTGTAGACGTAGTCATAGATCTGTTGTAGATGTTGAACTAGTTGTTGGTGGTGTTAGAGAAGTCGTACTTATTGAAGATGTATCACTAGTCTCCTCACTCGGTGTTGTTGCTTTAGTAAATTCTGTTGAAGAAATATTTGTAGATGTTTCTGTTGTGTCTTCACTGGTGTAAATAGTGAGGGTGGACGTGTGTGGTGGGGAGGTGGTTGACGGAGTCCTTTCAGTAGTGGTAGTAACAAGCTCATTAACCAGGTGGATGAGTCCGTCCACAGACGTACTGGCGTGGTTCAGGGCATTCTGAACTTCCTTCAGTGTGTCCAGATCGCTTACAGCTGCAAATATGTGAGAAAATATTGAGTATCTTGCCCTATGGATATGCAGACATTAAACATCAGGTCTAAATAATTATCATTATAAATGTTACATAAGGGTCAATTAGAGTATACATTTAATATAGGAGAAAGGTACGATAACTTGACTTTAAAATAACCTAAGCTCATACCTAACAAAATATAATTTAGGAAACGTCCAACTGTCGTCCTCTATAAGGAATTTATTGTGTTTATATAAATAAAACCGGATGTATTTTAGTGGCAGAGGAATGAGATGGATTTTGAAAGGGAATCAAGTGTTTGTGTAAAAGGTGTCCCGTGGCTCTGTTGGTAGCGCATTCAGGTCACCCACCGAGTGGCAGGGGTTCGATCCCCGGTATGGGTGAAAGCGTTGAGCCCCTGTTCACCTAACAGTAAGTAGGTTCCTGGTGTGGGTTGCATCCTGAGGGGTAGTAGTTATATACCTTAGAAAGAGGTGGGGCTTTGCAATTGATTTGTGTAAAAAAAAAAAAATAGCTGTTAGCCTGTAAAATTGATTTGTGTAAAAAATTTTAACACCTATTAGCCTGTAAAACTGTTTTATAAAGGGAAACCGTGGTTGACTTTATAGTATGTGGAAAAGGCACACATCGGGATGGATCAGGGAGGAATGACGCACGAATGGAAATTGTATCGAATAGGTGGTAATTTGTTAAAAATTATTAAGTGTTCTTATGAAAAGAGTGAGTCTTAAGTCAGGGTAAAAGAGGAGGAGACAGTCATGAGTAATGTCACACTGTTCTGGCTGGCAAAATGAAAACACATGAGTGATAAATAGAGATAATTTCTTAAATAATAATAATAATAATAATAATAATAATAATAATAATAATAATAATAATAATAATAATATCTTTATTTCTACAAGTACATGCACAAGGTATACAGACCATTGCTGACATCAATGACATATTATTATATAGAAAGCCGCTTGTTAATGCTGAGCATTTCGGGCAAATTAGGTCAGTTTTGTCCCAGGATGCAACCCACACTAACACCCAGGTTCCCGTTTTACTGATTGGAAACATAGATAACCGGTGTAAAGAAACACGCCCAGTGTTTCTACCCCTCGCTGGGAATCGAATCCAGACCCTCGCCGAGTGAAGCGAGAGCTTTACCCACCAGGCCACGGGGCACGGAATAACGAATGAGGTGTTGTTCGCTGATGATGCAGTGCTTTTGGGATATTCGGAAGAACAGTTGTACAAATTACTGGTGGAGTTTGGGTGCGGAGAAGATGGAAATCAATACTAATCACAGAAAAGAATACGGCCATGAAAGTAGCTGAAGAAGGAAGGAGAAAATGAATACAAATAGACATTAGTAGCTAACGTCTTAGCGGTTGGATCCACAAAAAATGAGGTGAATTTGTAGGAAGAAAGAAAAAAAACGCATCGATAGAAGCAAAACAACTAAGGAACACCTGCTGGGGTCTCCTACATTCATTCCGTCAAGAATAACCCTGACAGTCCTCACTGCCTGTCGTTACCCATGACAGAGAAGTGCCCAAGGACGACCCCATCAGTATGAATCAACTCTCCTGGGGAAGGAAAAATACCGTCAGTATCACCAGCTTTGTTCCGCCCCCAGACATGATAACGATAACAACACCAAGTGCTCTATACTCAGCCACTCTCAATTATTATTAATAATTATTATTATCACTTATTATTATTATTGGCAATACTTATTATATAAATACTACTACTGCTAAAGCTACTACTGTTACTGTTGCTGCTACTAACTTACTACTACACTACTACTACTACCACTACTACTACACTACTATACTACTACTACTACCACTACCACTACTACTACACTACTACTACTACTACTACTATACTACTACTACTACCACTACTACTACTACACCACTAACTACTACTACCACTATGCTGATACTATGCTATTATTACTACTGCTACTATATCTACTACTACTACTACTACTTACGAATAATAATAATATATTAATACTACCACTAATAATAATATAATTAATAATAATAATAATAATAATAATAAAATAATAATAATAACTGTTCCACACACACCATAGTGTAAACAACTAATTGATTTACTTAGTTAACATTATCTGACTCTGATAAATAAAATGATTAACGCAGATTTCTCCATTGTAAATATGAAGACATGTGTCGACACAATAATATCATATTTACACAGTAAATGTTTGAGTGTAAATAACCACAGGTGCAGCGCCATATTAAAAACACAAAGTATGTATATATATATATATATATATATATATATATATATATATAATATATATATATATATATATTTATATATATAATATATATATATATATATATATATATATATATATATATATATATATATTATATTATATATATATATTATATGTCGTGCCGAATATTAAAACTGGTCAATTAGGCAAGAATCATTTAAAATTAGTCTTTCTGAAATTTTCCTTATGTTGATGTAAAAATTTAATATTTTGCACCAAAAGAATCATAGAAAACTTACCTAACCTTATTATAACAAAATAATTTATTTTAGCACTAACCCACTATAATATATTATAGATTTGTTTACAATAATTTATATAACAAAACATGAAATATATATTTTTTGCTAGTTCAGAATGATTTGGCGAAATTATTGCATACACATTTTCACAATTTGTCCTATATGGCAGAGATGGCGTTGCTATTTTAACCAAGATCGAATTTCTGCCTATTCGGCAACGACATATATATATTATATATAAATATAATATATTTATAATATATATATATATATTTAATATATATATATATATTGTTGCGTGTGTGTTGTGCGTCGTGTATGTGCATTTGTGTGCTTGTGTGTGTGTGCGTGAGTGAGCGTTGTGTTGTTGCGTGTGTGTGTGCGTGTGTTGTGCCGTTGATGTGTGTGCTGTGTGTGTAGCGTTGTGTGTGCGTGTGTGTGTGGTGTGTGTGTGACGATGTGTGTGTGGTGAATGTTTGATGTGTGTTGTGTGTGTGTGTGCGTGTGTGTGTCGTGTGTGTGTATGTGTGTGTGTGTGTGGTGGTTTTGTGTGTGTGTGGTGTATTGTGTTCGTGCCGAATAGGTAAAACTGGTCAATTTGCAAAAAAATCTTTTAAAATTTAGCCCTTTCAAATTTTTTTCTTATATTTTTTTAAAGATAATTTTTTTCTTTTTTTTAAATGTAAAAATTAATAATTGTGTACAAAGAACCTTAGAAAACTTACCAAACCTCATTATAACAAGCGACTTTAAACTTGTTTAAATTAAACTAAAATTTTTTAGATAGTTTACAGTAATTTAAAATAAATAAACAAAATGAATATATTTTTTTTCGTTAGGTTCAGAATTTTTTTTTCGAAAGTATTGTATACACAAATTTTCGTTTGCCTTTTTTAGGCAAAAAGAGAAGGTTGTAAATGAGTGAAAAGTTTGTGGGAACGTTCGCAACCCAGTTTTAATCACCCCACTAAAAAATATAAAAAAGACATTGGGGGGTCACCCCAAAAAGGATGAAAAAACAAAGGGGTGTGGGGGGGCAGCCCTCAGTTTACTGGGTATCCGGAGGGGGGTTTCGGGGTCAACCCCCCCGCGGCCCCGGTCTGGGGCCTGATGGTGGATTGGGGCATGTTTAACCCGGGCTGTTATTTTGACCGCACGAAAAAACGACGTAGAAACTAAAATTCCCTATTCTAGATTTCAAAATGGTTTTTTCGACACTTTTTTAATAATAATAATAATAATAAAATAATAATTTTTAAAAATAATAATAATAATAATAATAATAAAAATAATATTTTTTATTTAGCAAGTATATAAAAGCCACTTGTTATGCAAGCTTTTTGGGAAATTAGGTCAATTTTTCCAGTGCGACCCACACCGTCCATAAACCCCCAGGTACCTATTTCCTGATGGGTGAACATGGCAGCAGGTGTTTTGAACATTTCCCTAATGTTATCCAGCCGTACCGGGATCAACCCCCGGGATCTATCTGGTGAGTGAGGCACTGGGGCCGACCTACTATCTCTAGTGGCAAGAAAACACCCACATAGTTGAATAAGAACACAGCAACACTTGGGTATCATACGTGGAGACGATAAAAAGAACACGAGCAACATTGGGTATCATCACCGTAGACGATGAATAAGACCCGAGAAAACATTTGGGTATATCCCCGGGGAGACATGAATAAGACACACGAGCAAATTTGGGGTTCATCACCGTAGCGATGAATAAGAACACGAGAAACATTGGGGTATCTCCCGTGGAGACGATGATAAGCACACGAGCAACATTTGGGTTATCCCCGTGGGACGGAATAAGACACACGAGAAACACTTGGGGTATCATACCGGGGAAGACGTTCCGCCAAACATCACAGTCGTCGCCCGTCAAAAAAAACATACACGGGTTGGCTCATGTAAGTTTTTTATGTATTTATCGTGGTTATTATACAATAACATGAGGTGGAGCTTTGTTTAGTTTAATATGTTTTTTAGCACCCCTACCCACCCTGTGGGTGGAGTCAAAGTTTACAGAGGTACATAATGGGTCCGGGGACGGCCCTCAATTTTTGATAGGAGCAAGTTACAGAGGTAATGAATTCACAATTTACAAAGGTAATAAACTCCCCTTTTTTACAAAGGAAATAACTAAGGTAGGCCCCTGAAGGTGGAATCAAGCGCTTTACTCAGTGAAAGGAATACAGTGAACGAAATGAACCAAAATTTAGGTTTTTTGTTCTTTAATGTTTCATGAGAGTGTAGGAATTCATGTGAAAAAATCAGTCTTTAGCGTTCTAACAAAGTGAAATGTCCCCCTCCCTCCATACTCGTCCCCCTCCCCTCCATACTCGTCCCGTCCCCCCCCATATGTCCCCTCCCCTCATACTCGTCCCCTCCCCTCCATACTCGTCCCGTTCCCTCCATACACGCCCTGTCCCCTCCACCC